AATAGGGTGTCTGGTCGACTTCGTTTGTAGGTTAGTTCGATTAGTTATTACTCCACAAGAACGTCCCTTTTTTTAATTATTATGGTTGTTTTGTGTGCGTGAATATATATATGGGAAGGAGGGGGGTTATATCATAACGAAACAGTTAACAATAAAAAATGAGAAATAAATAAATATCGCTAGTGCAGTGCCACGCATAGTCCGACAAATATGAATGCATTTGCGGCTGGAAAGCCTCAGTCATCAGGTGAAAAAAAAACTCCACTTATGTAAATAAATCCAGGTGGAATGTGTAGTTGAAAAAACAAAAGCAGTGAACAAACATTCGTATTAATATCATCCGCTTAAAATGAATAAAACTACAAAGACAGGAATACCTCAAGGAAAGCGGTGCAAAACTGATTAATTTATGGCAAAAAAGGAAACAGTCCACACCCTCCACCCTTTTCAGAAAATTATCAGTGCAATTACTTTCAGATATATTCTTTTCCATATAGACGCAAAAACGAAGTCTTCGAATTGAGAACAAAAACAACAAAAGGCTTTTATTATCGAGCATTCCAACAGTGAAGGTTCAATCCTCAAAGTAACCAACTGTTCTAATGGTCTTCTACTCTAGAATTGTACGGTGTGTCCACCCTTTTGCTCCCCGGCCCACCTGAAGGGGGAAGGTATCCCACACGTTGACGATTCCTCTGAATCAAAGGAGTGTATTTCTCCCCCAGCGGCCGATCCAAGACGCATCGCGATAGCCACAAAAGTGGATTAGTGGGGACCTTTGCTCATGGTGCGCTCCTCGGAGGGTTTCCCCCCCTCCCCGGTGGTCCGATCTGGGCCGCCTTGAAGGCCCGGGGATGGGTGCGTGGCCTGCTTCTCCGAGCCCTTCGCCGGCGATCGCCCCGCCTCCGGGGCGGGGTCCATCGGGTCCTCGTGCACGCCCAAGACCTTGCAAGGGACGCTGGGGACGTTGGGCTTTTCCGGCCCCTCCCCCTCCCGCCCGGGGTGCGGGCGGTTCAATGGATCCCGGGACGACGGCCGCGGGATGTCCCTCGAGGGCCTCGACGCCTTCCCCGGCTCGCCGACGGGGGTTTTCCGCAGCGTCGAGGCGTACAAAAGCCCCTCGCGAACCCCCTCGGGCGCCGGGCCGGCCGCGGAATCGCGCGGGAGGGCCTGGGGGACCTCGGGCGGGTGGCCCTGGGCCTGCAGATGGCGCCACATCTCGACCTGCGCGGCGGCCTTGCTCAAGAAGGCCTTTCGCGGGTTCTTCCGCAGCAAATTCGCCACCGCGAAGACGACGTTCACCCCGATCGCGAGCAAACTGGCGACGTAGAAGATGTGCAGCTCGAACAACGTCGCCAGCGGGGTGTAGATTACCCGCGAGGTCGGGGAGGGGTTGATGCAGTGCATAATATACTCATTCAGCAGCTGGTTTTGCTGGGACACCGAGAAGGTCAGGACCATCCCGAGAACCAGCAAAACCACCTCCCACGTCATGATCATGTCTTTGTGGAAGACCACAAAATGATAGCGCACCTCGTGCGAATTCACCTCATACCAAATGAAATTAATGATGCTAAAGCCTAAACATAACCCGGTCACCGCCCATATATAACGCATGTCCAGCATATTGCGATCGACGATATATTCAACATTCTTCATGGACAGGTTATACTCCAGGTTTCTAAAAATACCCAGCGATGTTTTCACGGGGTAGACACAAGTGGGATCGAGAATATCATAAATGAGACGCAATTCGGACTTAGTAAAGACGCTGTTGTACATGAAATGCGTGGAATAAATACCAAATCGAATAATCGAGGCAAAGAAGCAAATCACCTGCACCGCTAGAAGAATAATGTTGAGCCGTGAAAACCACTTTTCGACTTCGGTTCGCTGAAGATGAAAGGCCTGCTGGTCTCTTCCATAAATAAACATGATTTCTAATTACGCAGTTGATCTATGTAATTTGGCAAAAGCCTTTGGAAGCAACGAACTCTCGGGCTGCTATGATTTCTATAAGGTTCCTAGTGTTGAAATGAAAGAATTTAGAAGTTTAAGTTTCTACACAATGTTAGAATTCATTACACCCCAACATTACATTTTTTTAATATATCACTATTATTATTATTTACTTCTTTCTTATCACTGCTTAAATCAAGACATTGTACGTGCTGAGTCAATTAGAGATCAAATTCAAACTTAAAATATACCATTATTCTCCTTCTCGCGAGGACGGATCCCCCCAAAGGGGAATATCAAACGAGATAAATCAACATATACCGATCGCATAATCTTTTTATAGTCTCTTGGTCGAAGGTGAGTCCTGCTTCTGATACTTGGGTCAAAATTTTGATGAACGATCTCTCTCTCTCTCTCCTCTCTATCTCTCTCTCTCTCTCTATATATATATAGATAGATAGATAGATCGATATTAAATTGTATCACTTTTATCAAGAACATTTAGTCAAATAGTAGGTTTGCCCTACCTCCAACCATTTCTAATATTATAATAATTCTTATCAAAATCAAGTAATGAATGTGCACATAATCTTGATCTCCTTTGTGTTCATTCTACTACTTATTCAATCCCCATTTTCAGCAGCTGAGCTTTCCACAATTGGTTCGCCTATTACGGTTGATATAAAAGGAGATGAGTGCTCTAGATTTCCCTATATCATGCCTTTTTTTTTAATGGAAAACACACGAATATTTCTTTTATATGTAGCCAAAAAATAGCGAATCTGTGCTCACTATTCCTGTGCCTGTAAGTGGAGATATCTTTCTTCTTTGATTAAGTCACTTAAAAATACAAAAAAAAACGTCCTTGACAGAGGCCGCTGAAAACCTTATCTTTAAAAAAAAAAAACATGTACAAAACGGTAGATTGCTGTTTGCGCGATCCAGCTACTGGTTCATGTACTGGGTCTCGTTGAGCTGCGCTTTAATATCCGTCAGCTCCTTGACTTGCATTTCAAAGCGGTCCTGAACTTCCTTCATGATGCCGGCATCCGTGTATTTACGGCTTTCGCGTTTAATCTCCTTCTCCTCCGAGGTGATAAAGGCGATGGTGAGGCCTTTCGTACCGAATCGCCCGGCGCGGCCGACGCGATGGAGGTAGCTGTCCGCATCCGAGGCCATATCGAATTGGACGACGAGGTTAATCCGGTCGATATCGACGCCGCGGCCGAAAAGATCGGTGCTGACGATCACCCGCGTGTGGTTTGTTTTGCAGCCCTCGTAGACCCTCAGGCGGTCTTTTTGATCCATGCGGGAATGCACCGCCTGGGATGGGAACTTGAGCACCTGCAATTGGCGATTCAGCGCCTCACAGCGCTCGACCGAGGAGGTGAAAATGATCGCCTGATTGAACTCGACGGCGTCGAGGATATCGCAAAGCGCGCGGAGCTTCTGCGCCTCGTTCAGGTTCATAAAGTACTGGGATAAGCCGTGTAAGGTGAGTTTGGCGCGCTGATCCACGTAGATCTCGGTCGGGTTGTTCATGAATTTCTTCGCCACGGTGCGCATCTCGTCCGTCATGGTGGCGGAAAACATCATCACCTGCTTTTCCCGCGGGAGACTGATGAAAATCTCCTGCACGTCGCGCCGCATTTTGATATCATCCAGGCAGCGGTCGAACTCATCCACGACAAACCACTTCACTCGGGAAACCTCCAACGCCTTGCGCTGAATCAGGGCCTTCATCCGCCCCGGCGTCCCCACCGCGATCGCCGGAACCGCGCGCTTTAATTGTTTGATGTTCTCATCCTCCAGAACGCCGCCGAAAAAAACAGCCGTCGTGGCGTAGGGCAGATATTTATTAAAGCGCTTGAACTCCTGCTCAATCTGATAGGCCAACTCCCGGGCGTGGACGAGGACGATCGCCTGGCATCCCGACTTTTGCCCCTCCGCGACCTTCTCGATTTGCTCCAAAAGCGCAAACACAAAGACGGCGGTCTTCCCCATCCCCGACTTGGCCTGCGCGAGGATGTCGGCCCCCAACATCGCCTGCGGGAGGGCCTGATGTTGGACCTCGGAGGGGTGCTCGAAGCCGTTTTCGCGAATCGCGTTCGCGAGTTCGGTTTTCAAGCAAAAGTCCTGAAAGCCGCCGAGGGCGACGGCGCTGTGGGTGCCCATCCCCACCCCCATCGCGTGAGATAACACCACCGTGTGCTTTACATCATCCCCGTCAAAATCCGCAAGTTCACTGCTCATGATTGGAATTGGGCACTTATATATATATATATAGATGGATATATATATTAGGTTTATTCTTTAGTTTAGTTTGGAGAGAGATTGATGTCAATGGAAATGGTAGGGTGGAATCTATTTAGTTATTTTATTTTGGGTTTGATTGCTGTTAGGTTACTCCTTATTACAATTAGTCGTCGTAATTCCATACCCCACCAATCATTGGATATCAATGTAAGGAAAGAGAGAAAGAGAGAACGTTAAAAACGATAAAAGGGGGAAAAGGTCATTGGTTTAGACAAATAAATTTAAAAACAAATCGACCGCAATGCATACAAAAGATCTGAGTTCGATACAGAACCTAGTCGTTGGCTGGCAATCCTTTTTTTCACACATTTACGCTATTCTAAACCTCCTAACTGTCGTGATGCGAAATGCATACCGATAGGTGGGGGAAGGTAATGATATACAAACACTACACAGACGCGGCTGAGAGCGTGTAAAATGGCACCTCGATCATTGGCTGTGATCCCCAGCCTTCCGATATAAAGCTAAATTCGCTATTCCTACGCATCCATAAAAATTAAACTAAGGTAAAATCAACAAATAAATAAAAGCCACAACACAGTCAAACGTAATTACTGACCAAACTCAGAGCTCTTTTTTTCATTGCCTTTCCTTTAGTGAGGGACACACAATTGTTGTTGGCGAACAACCCTTTTTTTCTTCAAAGATTGGGTAGGTCATGGGAACCGGGTGGGTCCGGAAAAGAATAATAGAAACACTCTAAAAGAATACATTCATCGCCCGATCCTTCCCCCCCCCCCTTCCTCTCCTCCTCCCTTCTCCTTTAGATATGTCGTCAATTTTCATCCACGGCAGGTTCCTACGCCAACCAAAATCCATCGTTAGGCTTCGACTTCCTTCGTCTTTGATTCCTTCGCGGAGGCGCGTTCGGCCAAAATCTTCTGTGTGTGCACTTCGACCTGATCGCGAAGTGGGCCGTTTTCGAACTCCAAACGACGCATAAAGGCGTCCTTGGCGAAGCCGGACATGTACTCAAAGTCGTTCCTCTCCAGCTCGCTGATATCTTCCACGAGATAGGCAGGGTCGTTGTAGTACCCAAACACATAACTGGACAAAATGATGATATTGGGGGTTTGGCCCTTCTTCATAAAGTCCGGGCCCAAAAACGCGAAGTAGTCCTCCACCCGCTCCATCAGCTGCTCCTGCGAAAGGTTTTTGTCGTAGGGCGCGAGAAATCGCCGCCAGGCGAACTCGTAAAGCGCCTCATGCGACATCGTCTTGTGGAGGCCGCGGGAAATCACCATGTAGTCCTCATTCCAGATTAAATTCCAATAATCCCGAATCCGAGTCATCCCGCACATTCGTGTGAGCATGGGGAAGGTCGGGAAATTCATACTCCGCGCGAGGTGGCGTAGGGACTTCCGCCGGATCATATCAAAGCGAATAAACTTATCGTACATATCCCCCGCCAGCCGCACCACCTTCGGGTCGCGATGGACGTTGTTTTTTTCAAAAAGCTCCTCCCAGGCGCGCTCGTGGACAGGGTTGAAAGGAAAGGCGTGGAAATCGAAAAACCACTTCGTATCGGCCAAAAAGGACGGAATGCTGCGATAACGATAGAGGTCCTGGGCCTCATACCAGATTTTCTTCGTCTCCTTCGTCTGGCAAAACGAAAAAGGCATCCACGTGTAGTTCGAAAGCCAAAACAGCGCCAGCGGCAGGGCGTATCCCCCAATCAGAAATGGCGCCGCACAGATGTGGGCAATGCGCCAGGCGTCTAATTTATACCGAATCAAACGCGATAACTCCTCCCGCGAGACCTCCTCGTTAAGCCGCATATCCACCCAGACATTTTTCTCCTGAGAGACGCCGCGCTTCCAGTAGTCCGGGGAATAAACCTCCGCCTGATCCACATAATCCTCCGGACCATAGCGGCGGCCCCGACGGTAGATTGTTCGCCACGTCTTAAACGCATCGATGGTTTGGTGGACAAAAATGTTGAACCCCGGTATAACGCTCCCATAACTCTTCGTAAAGAGGCTCCACGATCCCTGCATTGCGATAACCGAATAATCCAGATGAAAGGATAACAACGAAAGATCCCGAAGATGGCTTCCTCCCTTGAAGAAAAATAACGTAAACACCTAATCTAAGCCTAATTTATCGTTTTTAAATACTAACAAAAATTCCTTCTCAATAGGAAGTTCTCCAATGGCAGCTCTTATTCGCCATTTGGTGGAGGGGATTTAGGAATAATCGCAAACCCAATGTCGAAAAGAGGATGAGATTACACACAGTTTGTTTGGTGTCAAATAAAAAGACTTTAGTGGCATTCATTTTGAGAGTAAAAAAAAGATGCGCTCAATTTAAGCTGCCCCCGAAGCTCGATAAGCATCATTTTTATTTCGCTACTCACGCAGAAGAAAAGGTGCTATCCCTTTAAAGAAACGTAATTTACGATTTCAAGTTCACAAAGTTTCCAGGCCATATGTTAAAAAAAATGTAAGAATAAAAAATGAAACAGAAAACGTCGATCTTTTAAAGTGAAACCATTAAAATCATCTACGATGTCATGGACATACTACTACCGATTATATAAATATATATTATTTTGAGAAAAGAAGCTAATTAAAGATTCGGTTCCTCTCTTTGATTTTCCTCCTCAGGCTCTGAGGTCACCATGTCGACTTTGTCGCTACTAAGAACTTCCTCTAACAAAGACACGATAACGTCAGAATTGGCAAAGATAAAATACAGAAATGCAAAGACGCCGGTTGTGAAAAGTACGCGAGTGCGCCCACTAGCGTAGGCGTCCTCCGCGGCCGCCGCTACCATCTCCGCCGTGGCGACCGCGGTTGTCTTTTTAAGGCCATATTTCCCGTTATAGTCCTCGTAAAACATCTGCCGCATCCACTCGACGTACTTCACGAGGTGCGCGCACTCCTCCTTCACGGTGGCCTGGAAGGCGGCGAGTTGGGGGGAGCCGTGGGGGCCGCCAAAGTCGGCGTGCAAAAATGACGAAACCCCCGCGTAGACGTAGGCGTCGGTGCTGGAAGGGGAGGAGGTCCCGGAGAAGAAGGTCTCGTCCGTTCGCGCGTACGACAAATGGAGCCGCTCCAGGGCGCGAAAGGCCTTCTCGACCTCCCCGAGGACCTCGGCGACTTGGCGAGACTCCGTCCGAAAAGGGGTCGGGCCGTGCGCCGCGCCCTCCACATAGGAAAAGACGTTCGATCGGAGGATATTCCGCCGAAAGGAGCCGCTCAGGCGCTCCCAAAACCCCCCGACCTTCGGCACCACCACCTTTCGCAGGCCGTAGTGAAAGAGATTGGGCTCGAAGTGGACGAAAAAGGTGAAGGCGGGGAAGAGGCAAGTCGTCGCGATCCCCTCCACGCAGGCCCCGACGTGTTGGTGGTCGCTCTGGACGACGTCGACGTCGGTGAGCGCGCTGAGGTAGCGCATGCAGTCGCGAAAGCCGTGGAGGGTGATGGGCTCCGCCGGCCTGTCCTTCTCGGGGGGGGAATCGCGGGAAGGGGGGATCACCATGCGCAAATCCCGCATCGCGGCGTCCTTTTTGACGTACCGCACCTGCAAAAAGCGCAGGGCGGTCTCGAGCGCCAAGGCCTGGGGATCCACTGTGGGCAGGCCGAGGGCCCCGGGGTAGCGGTGTAGCAGCGCCGGGTCCTCCGACATGTCAAGACGGAAACAATAGAGAAAAAATCAATGGTGTTGGTTTTCTCTTTTGGAAACTCCCCTAGTGGTGGATTCCTTGGTTTGCATAAAATGACCCGGCGGGATATTTAAATAGGGGAGGGGGGGGAGGAAGCCCTCTCCCTTTGTAAAATATCCGTTTTTCTGTGTATGGAAAGAAGACAGCTGTGATGGAATAAATGCAAATCCGGTAAAAATTAGAGATAGAACAAAAAAAGGGAAACCATGAATATAAATCGTTTTATCGACATCCAGATCGTCATACGACTCAAAAAAAGACAAGATCGGACCGTGAAGAGATGTGGAAATAAGCTACAGAAGTACTTTTTTAATATTTAAGTTAATATTTTTCTTTTTTGAAGACCTCCATAAGTTCCAAACACTCACCAAAGGAACTCGTCTGACAGACTACAACACCAGCAACCTGAAAAATCACAAGCATTTTTTCCCAATTCTTCAAAAAGAATGGCCTTAATCTTATATGTAACATGTTTATATTCCCAAACAGGGTAAATGCTCTGCAAATCAACAATTAGACGCGAAGCAAATGCTCAAAGGACAAGCAAAGAAAACAATAATAGTAGTAGTAATATTAAATACTTAAGCTAGAATGAAAATAATCTTTTAATAATATCCGAATTGCATTCCGATTTTAAAGTACAATATTAAGATAAAAGCAATTTTGAACCCACGGAGTTCATTCAGGGAGAATACTTTGCTGCAGACAAGATAAACCTCAAAAGCAAAAGACATAATTGACTCTTTGTAGATGAAACATGCGGTCCGTAAAAATATTCAGGTAGAAAAATTAACAATGATGGGTAATAAAAAAAAAAGATCAAGACAAAGAGATATCCACTACCCCAGTGATCTGAAAGATAGTTTTAAAGGACTTTTCGTATATACTGCATACACACAATAAAAAGTGTTAACATTTACTGCGGTTCTGTATTCGTAACTCTTTTCTATACATATATACAAATACATATATCTATATATATGTATATATAATCGTGGAGGTGACATGTTGACACGCTAACCCTTCACTTTCTGAAGAATATAATTATCTGAAGAATTTTCACCAGGTTAGTGTAACAATTAAAATATCGTTGCCTAAATTTTCTTTGGATGACTTTCTAAGTTAGAGTACACAACGATGCCAGACACATTTGTTTGCCAAAAGGAATAAATATATCTTCAACTTACCCTACACTTCTTTTAACTTGACAACAAAGATCCTCTTTTTTTTATTATTTGCACGACCGCAAAAGTTAGAAATAATAATGTATGTTTTTAAATCATTTCAACGTAAACAACTATATATTTATATATAGCTTAATATTTAGAAACATTTACTATAAACGGATGAGCAATAATATTTCAACATTACAAAGGCAAATGAAGCTTAATGTATGAAATTTCTTTTAAAAGGAGTCAATTGTACTAATTGTAATATCGCATATACATTTCAATATTGTGCATACATTTATAGATGTGAATACTAGCTGTGTTTGTATGACGATGGAACTTGAATTGTTTTGCCTATTTGGTTGTTTACATTTTAGACTATCTCATCACAAAAATATTTATAGGTATATTAATAAAAGAGTTTATTATTATTATTCGTATACATCAAAGCGTATTATAAATAACCTTGCGTACCTTCTGATTGAGCCGGAAAAAAATATACCATCCCCTCGAAAGGTGTAAACCACAAAAATTTAATATGTTTCTATATATTCATGAGATGCATAAATAAAAATACAGAAGACTTTTAGTTTGCGGTCCCATTTTTGTAGCCTTTTTTAAGGAGGTTCTACTAACTTAAAATGGAAAAATTTCGAAATAATTAAGCTCAAGGAGAAGGACTAGGAAGATAATTCCTCCCCGCAGACTTTTGGAGACTACGAACAAAAAAAAGAAACAACTAAAGGACTCAGATATCACCTTTTTTCACAAACAAAGTATTCAGTTGTATTGGATTTTCCATTTGGATAAAAATGCCAAGCGTCAAAGGAAACCATTCAAATTAATCCTTTAATACACCATTTACATATTACACTTTACCTCTACAATCATTTAAAAGTATGCCATATAAAGGAAAGCAGAGCAAATAAACAAATATATAATTAATGAGGCAGAGCGAAAAGAGCTTTATAGTGGTCACAAGAACCCTGCTACATGCCCTTACGGGCTTTTAAAACTACCTTTTTTTTTCATATTAGATTTCGGCTATTCATCTTTCTCTAGTGCTCGTACACTTTTTAGAAGGTTCGTTAGCGTGTGGACATCCAAGGCGGGGTCCTCCTCCATCGAATAAACCCCACCCGTCTGATCATCCATGAGGATCTGCGAGCCCGCCCCCACAGTTGAGGGAAAGTGCTTTATCAGAGGAGTACATCCGAAGTGATGCTCCCCGCTGCCACCCTCCACCCCAATTTCCTTCGAAGTCGGGCTGCTGTAGGTATGATAAGCCTGCGGCTCCCCCTCCCTCGTGTTTGAGGTGGGGGCGGGGTTGGCGTTTGGATTGGAATTCGCATTTTCATTCACATTCGCGGTGGAGGTCGGGTTGGAGGCGGTGCTCTCGAGCGGGCCGTCCACCAGGCAGTGAAACCCGTGCACGCACTCGTACAGCCCGGTGGCGTGGTTGAGCTGGAGGTGCTTCATCACGCGCAGGCAGTGGTGCACGCTGCAGAGCTCCTGATCGTCCTCCTTATTCCGATGCCCCCGACTCTTGCGGTGGGTAGGAGAGGGCGCGGCGAAGATGGTGGAAGGACTGGAATTGCCTCCCCCTCCCCCGGACAGCGTCTGTGGGGTGGACCAGATCGTGGTGCTGCCGTTCAAGGACCCCGCACTGCGCCCACTTACGTTGGAGGTTGGCATTCCCCCCCCTCCGCCGCCCCCGCCGCCTCCCCCGGCGCGATTCGCGAGGAGGTGCTCCAGCCGCAGGCGGATCGGCTCGACAAACGTCGTGGGGTCCTCATCCACCATTGACAACAACACCCCCAGCAGAACATTTCGCGAGCACTTCTGCAAGGTGAGGCGGGTTTGCACGTAGTTCTGCTCCATCTTCGCCACCGCCATCACGAGAAGCCGATTCGTCGGGTGGACAAAGGCATGGAAGGTGGGGCTGGTCTCCGCGGTCAGCACACCACCCGATTCGGGCGAAGGCAACGGCTTCATCGCATCCTCCTGCGTGTTAAAAGAGCCCTGCATGGAGAACAACTTATCGCTGTTACCGAAGATCGTGTTTTGCATGGAAAGCATTTCTTTGTCTAGGGATGGGATGTCGCCAAAACGCGCGTTTTTCTGAGCACTGATGTTGGCCATGAGCAAATCAAACAAAACAAAACCAAAAAAAAAAAAGCTAGTGTCGTGTGAATCGTTCCCACAAAGTGTGTAAAGCGGTCCAAAAGGGAAAGGCAGCTACCGTGTTGGAAGTGTGTCGGTGTTGGCAGAGGAGACACGGCAGGGAAAGGAACGGCACGCGAGCTCTGAGACACGGACTAAAAACGCGCTCTGGAAAGGACAGAGAAGAATTGGCCACTGGGGTCTTTAGGATCGGAGGTACACTGTAGGACCAAGGGAAACAAAGCACGTCGTTACTCGAAAACGGTACAGGGATAAGAAATATCTAAATAGCTTTGTCGGTTAACAGTAATGAAAATAATAAAAAAAAGATGAAGTGCTCTTCGAACAGAAAAAAAACAAAAAAAAGGAAAGAAATCCAAAGGCACTTGTGATGAGCAAAGTTGCTTGTCTTGGATTGTAAAAATGATAAACCTATTATCGCTGTATATATATATATAGATATATATACCTTTTACGACTAGTGATTCTAAAAGAATTAAATTTACACTTAAAAAAAGAACGAAGATAAAATAAGGAAAAAAAAGTGCTTAAAATTATTGAACCATTGCATCATGCAAGAAATGTGCGGCATTTCATTAAACCCCCTTTGTACTCACTTCCTCTCGATTCGAATATATGCTTTTACGAGTGAAAGTGCAATTTTGAAAAAATATCAAACCAAAATGATTCTTCTACAAACACGCAAACCCTCAACGATTGAAAAGTGTCCAAGTCCTCAAACAGACCCTTAAATGAATTCATTCTAATACCTAAAGGGATTACCCATTCGCTATATTTTTCAGAACATTAGATATGTCATAAAATATTTTCCTTCATTATTCAATAAAGACCACCCTTCAGATTATCTCAAGGTAAAAATCTATCCATAAATCAAGAACGTGGTGCCCATGGCAACAAATTTCAAAAAAATGTTGTCGGTATCCTCTCTGCATAGGGTGGCGTTTCGTTCATTGAAAAATAAAAAGACTTGATAGGTATCAGTGATCTGAGAAAATAAGTGAAGCGAAAGAAACTTTTTTTTTTAAAAGCAAAAGATTTGAGTTTACATTTACGACGTTTGCGAAGAAACAATATTGCAAAAGTCATCGCATACAGCCAAGATTTCGTTCAAACGCTCATCATTTTCCCCCTTTGCGGAAACACTGATAAGATCCTCCACGGATGCGCTAAAGCCCCTGATGGTAGTCAGGAAATATTTCCGTATCCTCTCCGGCTCACCGTTTTCCAGCAGCATATCGATCACACCTGCCCAGATCTCAAGTAGCCCCTCGGAGGCGGTATTAAGCAGCTCCAAAATACGATCCATCATCGGGGGCATTTTGGGAATACCACTTTCCACGGCCACATTCTCACACTCCATCTGCACACGCATCAACACTGAAAGAAAGCCGTGAACATTACGCAGGGACTTCTCGATCTTCCGAAGGCGAGGGATGGGAAAGCTCTTCGGGCTGGACAACTCCTCCAGCTCCATCCGCATCGTATTCGAGGCGAGGTGAATGCGGTTCATCATGGAAACGAGCATCGTTTCGATCGGTCGCGCCATTGGGAAGGCCTCAATGCACTGCACGCCGGTCCAGAAGAAGGTGACGTAGTTCGAGTCCGCCTGGAGGCATTGGAGAAAAAGAGTTATCGGACGTAGGCCGAGCCAGCCAAACATGCCTGGAAGTTTCTGCGCAATACAGCGGGTTTGATAGGCGTTGACGGCGGCAATCACCTCGCGAGGGTGACTTTCCCCGAGGCGGAGAATCTCGAGCTGCGTGCGCACCGCCTCCCGCGCGGCGTCGGGGTTGCTAAAAAAACCCTCCCGCAGGCGGCGCGTACTTCCTGTTAGGAGCGGCTCCTGGGCGGTGAGTAAGACGGCCCGAATGAGCGTCGACACCGCGGTGGAAGAGGAGGCCGTCGCATCGTTCACGAGCGCGAGAATCCCCTGCACGACGCGCTCCCCCGCCGCGGGATCCTTGCCGAGGAAAAACCGCACAATCCCACACACCACCTCGACATCCAGCAGCTCGAGGCCGTCGGGGTGGGTGGAGAAGCTCTCCAGCGTCTTGTGAATCTGAAGAGAAATCGCTTCCGCGTCGTTGGTGTTAAAGGCCTGGCGGAGGGCGATGTTCAGGCGGAGCGCCTCAAGCCGCCGCAAATCCGCCGGATCCGGCTGCGAGAGTTGCCGAACCCGTTCGAGCGGAAGCGTGGTCAGAAATCGGCTCGCGGCGTGGAGCAAAGTGTGGTCGAATTCCCGCCGGGCCGCCCCCACCGAATTCGCCTGAGAGCGGGGGGGGTGGGCGAGCAGATGATCGTAATCCAACTCCGGCGGGCGGTCGAGGTCGGTGAGGGAGACCAGCCACATCGCTGTTGTCGTATCCCCCCGCGCGAACTGGTCGCTCGCGCAGTCGGTCAGCTGTCGATAACACTCCCGCCGCTGTCGGGTGTACAAAGACCCGACGGCCTGCTGAATCGCCCCCACCTGATCAGGGGAAAGAGGAGAACAAGAAGCAGAAGAGGAAGTGGAAAAGAAAAGTGAAGCTTGGTGAGATTCCGCGGCTTCCAGCCCCGGCGCGAGCCCCCGCATCGCCCCCGTCCGAAGCCCTGTCAACGTCAGCGCACCGTCGATCGTCAGCCCGATGCCACGCTGCTCAAGGTAGGTCGTGGTGGTGATTAAATCCGTCAACGGGGCCTCATACTGCGCATGGCCCACGGCGTAGGTCGGGAAACTGCGCAAACTCCACATCGAGACGGAGCTATCGGCGCCCGCCGTCAAAAGGAGGTCGGGATGAAGTTTAAACCACTGCAGGGCGGTGACATCGCCCTGGAGGGAGGGCACCACGTAAATCGGATCTGACGCGCGCCGGACATCAAACACGGCGAAGGTCCCATCCGACGACGCCGCCGCGAGGCTAAAAGGCAGAAGCGGGTTGAACTCCGCGCAGCTCACCGCGTAGGATTTGCGCATCGCGAAGGTCAGGCCGTTGGCGAGGCCGGCGCCCCGCGTATCCACGAGCATAAGATCACCCTCGTAATTACCAGAGAGAACAATACGATCGCTGCCAGGGGCCCAGCGCGCAAACAACACCAACGAACCTCCTTCTTCTGCCGTGAGGTGGGGCCTCCAGGCGTAGACAGGGGTGGGGTCAGCATTGAGATCCCAAATAAAAACCTCCGCATCACGCGCCGCGAGAACGTTGTGTTTATTTACTTTTCTATTAACCTGCACGCTGCGAACAAGCGAGGTCGCAGCGGGAGAGCTAGCGGAAACGATGCGCTCACCTATTGGGGGCTCCCCCGCGGCGTAGGTGCGGAGCTTGGCGCGGGGCCGCAGGAGGCCGCTGCTCCCCGCGACTGATTGCTCATTTAATTCGGCCACTAAAATCCGCCCGCGGTTGGAGCCAAGGAAGAGCAGATCCTCACACCACTCCACCCCATTAGTTCGGACGTCGGTAGGGAGTTCCAACCAAGAAATCCGCTGCACCGCCCGCAGCGTCGGCTCGGCATCCGCAAGAGGCATCAGCCCCACCGAGGCGGTCCCCGCGAACGGCGAGAGCGCGATCGCGAGTGCGTTTTCGCTGTCGTGGAGGGCCAAACGCGCGGATTGAAAGAGAACCCCATCGGCCCTGAGCGACTCGCTCTCGGTGATGAGATCGCTGTGATTGCGAATCCACCCGCGAAGCTGCTCCGGGGATCGCCAGCATGCAGGGGAGGTGAATTGTTGGAAATCGAAGATACTTTGGTCCATTTTTTTTGTGTGTGTAGAGAGTGAGTCTAATTTTGCGCAGAAGAGGTTCGGCGATGTCACAAATATAACTGATGCGACAGATGTCACAAATGTAACAGATGTCACAAATGGCACAGCGCACAAAAGACCCAAAAGGGTATTAAAGGCGTGGGAAAGAGGCCCACGGGCTTTAAGTCGGGTTTGCGCCCTTACAAAGACGTGGGGGTGAGGTCAAAAAGGGACTTCAATAAGGGTGAAAAGGGTACCTGTGGGGATGTCTTTGAGAGGTCAATAAGCGGGGTGCGCATTAGTGAGAAAATCACACTCACTTCGCCTTGAATGTTTCGCTTGTATTCTTAGAATTAATACTTTTCCGATGACGCATCTAGAATTCTAATGAAGGATAATCTTCAATGGAGGGGGGAAGAAGTGTCATTCTTTAGTAATAATAACAAAAATGGGAATTTCAACAGCATCCTGCTGAATGCATCACAGTTGTTGTATTCACTTCACCTTTACACGCACTCATACATAATCCGTAAGACACATCATACACGGGTGAAAATTCTGAATCATTTTCAACGTCAATACTTTTTCTCATGTTTAAATGAAAAGGAACTTTTTGTAAGATCTAGCCCATAAGTTACGTAATGAGTTTACCAATGCATGAAATTTTTTATCGAAGTATTTTTTTAGATATATCACACACTTAGAAAGATTTAATCTTACAAAATGGGAATACAGTCAAACTCCTTCCGTAAAGAATATCTGAGTTGGGGATGTCAGGAATGGTGAGAAGTCTTAAAATAATACTTACTACTCCAATACTAAAAGGTGCATTAGCATACTCATATCAATGGGATCAAGGTAGCGCAGAGCCATCTTATGTTTCCAACTATCGAATATGCTTTATGAAATCCTCATAAGTTGATAAACCTAAAAATTTACTTGATTCATAGCACACATGTGCTCTTTTAGTAAATTTAATAATAAATTAAACGTTTTTTAAAAGCGATTGTCATTAAGATTTATTCTAAAATAGAAAATACACAGAAATAATGTGATAACCATATTTATAGCGCATAGCAAAAAAAAAGATACCTTAGATTTGTAGTGCAACTACAATTTACTTGTAGATTCCACATATGAATAAAGAAAATGCCTAAATTAAATACGAAACCAACTCGACTACAAAAAAATTCGCCACTTGAGGTGGCATGAAAAGCATAGTTTACCCTTTCGTGAGTGAGTATGTAAAGAACATTGATGGAAAAAGTGAGATGGCGAAAACATTCCTTATGCAAATTATGACTTTTCCACTGAGATGAAGTTTTTCAAGGCATACATTTTATTCTCAGAAATGTGAATAGTAAATTTGAAAATTGAAATTAAAAAGTGACGGTATATCTATTTACACATACACATCGTACAAATTTACTCCTATTGGTGCAAACTGGAGAAATAAAGCAATTTTAACATCAAATCAAATGACACATCTTTCAACACCTGTGTTTATAATCCTTATTCAACGTGGAGTTTTATACATTCTTAAGCTCGCGGAAAACACGAATGACGACAAAAAAAAAATGAGATAAAAACACCCCAAAGGTGGAAATTGCCAAAGGGATGAGACTCCAACCACGAAAGTCCCACACCAACAAGGAAAGCGGGAAAAATATCCCACTAAAGAGACATATCGCAATGGAAAGATCTTTCCAGCGGTAAAACCAAAGGTAATCCAGCAAGAAAACTAACATAATAATGAACAAGCTGACGATAACGGGAATCCCACCGAGAAGGACGTAAAGTCGGCTACCATATTGAACATATTGCAGTGCACAAAAAGCTGCAGAAGCGAACAGCAAAGGAAATGCGTTTGGGATGTTTAGCAGTAGAAAATGAAAGCCATCTCTGATATTTAGAGACTCCAGCTGATGATATAAATGCTCTCGGGCGTCTGGCATAATGCATCTCAACGCGTACCCTTGCCAAACACAAAAACTAAAGATAATTGTCGCCCCACACCAAAGCCATGGAAAACGTTGGTTACGCAGCAAGTTCATTTGAATAAGAAAAGTGGGTATAATGATATCAAAAATCACTATTATAATAACGGTGGACGATGTCGTAATCAGAAGTTTATTGCGACGGATTCTAGAAAATAGTGGAAGCGGTTCAAAATGCGTTAGCATCACAATATTCGATATAATCAGTGCAATAATACAAACATAGGAAACCCAAAGAAAGGAGAAAGAGGCTTGGCTCGTGCAGATCGAACAGGATGAAACGTCTTCCGCCGCACACATCGCAGAAATAATCGCACAACAGATGGAAAGTAAAGAGGCGGAAATAAAAAGGTGAAGAACGAAACCGCGGCATCGCTGAACGTATTTATAATATTGTTGGCGTTTGCTATATTCTTGAACGGCCGTCATGGCCTTCTGGAGGAGTTCTTTTGTGGGAGCCCGCCGTTCCTCGACAGCCTCACTCTGGGAAATAGAATTTTTAGAATCCCCTAACAGTTTGGTGTCAGCCAAAATCCCACGGCTTGGCTCGTCGAAGGGCACATCATATTCGAGAAACATCACCAGCGGGTAAACCACAAATATTTTTTTCACGACCACTTCCCAAATCAATGAATGCTGACATAACGCGTTCCACCGCTTGCATACTAAGGAAAGCGTTTTAAGAGGAAAAATAGCATGCTCGTTTTGAATAACATTAATGAATATTAGATTCAAAACATCATCTGGAAGACGTTGGATCAACGAAAGGTCAGGTTTATCTGCACAAAGACATGGTGTTTCTACTACTAAGACCTTGCGTACTATAGGAAGAGGCGATCTTAGAAATACGGAATGCATACTAAGCATTGAGAAGCAAAAAAAAACTAAGTGGAAATTAGGCATTGGGGGATAAAAATCAATAAAAGAGTAAACAGAAGAAAAAAAGAGAATAAAAGCAGAGGAAAACTAAACATCAACAGCGTGTTGATTAAATCTTTTATTTTTAATTTATATCATAGTATTTTGTATATAAAAAAGCTAATGCATGTATATATATATTTATATATATACGTGGTATGCAGTAAAAGCATTGATACAAGCGAAGAGTAAAGTGCTAAAAAGAACAATAAAGAGCAATCAAACAAATATGCATAAATATATATATATATATAATAAAAATGAAATAACCTTCTGTTTATTAGAACTAAAAACTTTAATAGCCGCATACAGAACACTTGAGTGTGGCATCTTCACAAAGTGGTAAATCATCCTGAGTAAGAGATGCCTTCGTTCGTAGTCTTTTATGGATATCGGCGGTCTTCTGCATTTCACCGCAGAATGGACAGTGCCAAGTTCTCTTTAATAAACTGCCATTTTCGCTTGTATTTTGAAATGCTGGGGTAGCAGCACTTTGCACCGATTTTAATGTTTCGCGCCAACCCATTTCCCCGCCTTCTTTTTGGAGGACCTTATGAATATCCTCCCGGCGTACCTGCTCATCTTCCAAAGCAAAGCGTAGTAGGTCGGCAATCTCATCGAGCATAGTGGAGTTTGGGATCTCATTGCATGCGGTGAGATCGGCATCGGCATCGGTGGAACCTTCGGAAGCGTCGCATTCACCCTGCACATGCCCCGAGTTAGTCGTATCCTTCATAAGAATGTTAGGTGAATGCGTCTTTCACATAGTCTGTTTTTATGTTGGTGAATTTACCTGATTAGTTCGTTAGGGTTGAATAAACAAATCAATAGATATAAATAGAAAAAATGCATCGTTAATTTTATGGAACCATCAATTGAGAAAACACGCATTTCCGTTTTCTCGATACCATCCACAAAAGGGAAAACATTTATTTTGAATTATGAAAATAATGCATAATAGTTAAAAGATATAAAATAAACTGATATAATACATAAAAAATGTCATAAGTGACAGCACATATGATTTTACCGTGTAATGGGAAAGAAGTCAATAATATAATAATAATGAGAAAAAATGGTCCTCTTGTTGTCTGTTATTCTTAAAATTTATTAGAGGAATCACACATTTCACCCAGAGGGTATTATCTCCAATTTATTCACTATAGGGGAAAAAAAAACCCATGCCCTGTAAAAACATTTATCGCTGCCTATTAAAACATACAAAGGCCGGCAAAAGTGGAGTCCAGTTGTCAACAAAACTCAGATTAGGTCAACACTAAAGTTTATGATGTCCATCACTGTTCCTACACATAAACCGCAAGACACATCCATATTCACTTATTTCTAAGCTAACTTTTATTATGGATCCGAAGCTTTTTTCACTATTCAAATGAAAATCATCATAACGAAAAAAAAAATACAATGAAGATAAATAGACATACGAAAGTTAGCTACTATAAATTAGAAAACAATAACAATAAACCTCATCACATCACATTGCAGCATCCATTGCCTTTCGGTTCACGATAGGACTCGCTGGTGGTCGCGTGCGCGTCCGCCTGTGGGGACTCCGTCAGGGACGGGGCGTCGTTCTCCCCAGTCACGATCGGCGTGGCTTCCTGGAAAACGATGTGCAGGAGCATAGAGGCCCCCTCCTCGCCCTCGGCCGGGCTGGCCGGCTTGCCCT